GAGGCAAAGGTGGGGAGGAAGGACAGGTCTCGACAGTTAGAGTGGTGATTCCAACTGTGGGAGACCCAACCAACGTTGGAGAAGAGGTGGTGGATGATGTCAGGGTACATCCTGTGGTGGACGGTCCCTGGAAGTCATAGGGCAACAAAAATATAGTAGTGGCAAGCTGTGGTCCTAAAGAATCCACCAGCCCAGAAGAAGAAGGAAGACAGAGGAAAGTGGTTAGCATAGCAATAGCACTTAGACCAGTGGTTCTCAACCTGTGGGTCGGGACCCCATTTGGGGTCGAACGACCATTTCACGGGGGTCGCAAACAATGCAGTCCGCCATTTTTTTTCTCCCTTTTCCTTAGCTGTGCTATTCCCTTTTATTCTATTGGCTTTTGAAAGCCAATAGAATAGACTCTCTTGAATAGGAATTGTCCAGGCTGTCTCTGCCCTGCTGAGCCCGCCAAAAGTCCCATTCTGCAAATGGTGCTGCACCAGTTGAGTAGTCCTCGACTTACGACCGGTTGAGTAGTCCTTGACTTACGATCGGTTGGGGGTCGCGGCATTAAAAAGGTTGGGAACTACTGACTTAGACTTACAGTATATATCACTTCACAGTGCTTTACTGCACTCTCTAAGCGGTTTACAGAGTCAACATACAGTATTGCCCCCAACAATCTGAGTCCTCATTTTACTGACCTTGGAAGAATAGAAGCTTGAGTCAACCTTGAGCCAGTCAGGATCAAACTCCTGGCAATGGGCAGAGTTAGTCTGCAATACTGCATTCTGACCACTACCCCACCACACCTCCTACATTCCCTACCCTTAGGAGTGCCAAGTAGCCAAGGGAGAAGTACTTGGTGGTATGTAGGACTGGGGCATCATGGAAGAGCTGAATCTAGCATAGAGAATAAAAGTCAGGTTGGGAAGAATAGTAAAGCAGAAGACAGAATAAGGTTAAAGAAAATAAACCTGAATTTATAAGATGAAAATAACGTTTAGAAATATTAGAATTAGGATAAAATGGAAATTGGAAGATGACATGTGGTCCTTTTTTGCAACAAAAAGCATTTTTACTAGTAAAACATTTTCTTAATTAATTAATTAATTCAGATTGAAAACCAAATGGAATTGATGTATAGGCACCCTTCTTGAGATCTGTATCATCCTGACCCCATACATACATCATTATCTCTCTCCTTACTTTTCTGTCTTTGCATATATCATATCATTGCTTTACACTCTTTTGTTTTCTAAATCTATCTTGAACAATTAGTGGATCAGAGGAATGCTGTGGACATAATTTACTTGGACTTCAGTAAGGCATTTGATAAAGTAGATCACAACCTACTACTTGACAAGATAGAAAAATGTCGGGTAGAAAGCACCACCACCAGATGGATCCGTAGCTGCCTGACCGGTCGTACTCAGCGTGTGGTCCTCAATGGAACTGCATCTACATGGAAGGAAGTATGTAGTGGGGTGCCCCAGGGCTCTGTTCTGGGCCCAGTGCTCTTCAACATCTATATCAATGATTTGGCGAGGGGATAGATGGGGAACTCATCAAATTTACAGATGACACCAAGCTGGCAGGAATAGCCAACACTCCAGAAGACAGGCTTAAGATACAGAAGGATCTGGACAGACTTGAACACTGGGCGCTATCTAACAAAATGAAATTCAATGGTGAAAAAAGCAAGGTTCTATATTTAGGCAAGAAAAAACAAATGCACTGGTATAGAATAGGGGGTACCTTGCTTAATAGTAGTAATTGTGAGAGGGACCTTGGAGTCCTAGTGGACAATCACCTAAATATGAGCCAGCAGTGTGCTGCAGCTGCAAAAAAGGCCAACACAGTGCTAGGCTGCATTAACAGAGGGATAGAATCAAGATCACATGAAGTGTTAATACCACTTTACAATGCCTTGGTAAGGCCACACTTGGAATACTGCATCCAGTTTTGGTCACCGCGATGTAAAAAAGATGTTGAGACTCTAGAAAGAGTACAGAGAAGAGCAATAAAGATGATTAGGGGACTGAAGGCTAAAGCATATAAGGAACAGTTGCTGGAATTTGGTATGTCTAGTTTAATGAAGAGAAGGACAAGGGGGGACATGATAGCAGTGTTCCAATATCTTAGGGGCTGCCACAAAGAAGGGGGTGTCAAGCTATTTTCCAAGGCGCCTGAAGGCAGGACAAGAAGCAACGGGTGGAAACTAAGCAAGGAGAGAAGCAACCTAGAACTAAAGAGAAACTTCCTGACAGTTAGAACAATTAACCAGTGGAACAACCTGCCTCCAGAAGCGGTGACTGCTCCAACACTGGAGGTTTTTAAGAAGAGACTGGACAGCCATTTGTCCAAAATGGTATAGGGTTTCCTGCCTGAGCAGGGAGTTGGACTAGATGACCTCCAAGGTCCCTTCCAACTACTTACTACTACTACTACTACTACTACTACTACTACTATACTACTACTACTCTACTATTATTATTATATCAAATATGAGCCTTTAAGTCATTGCTAGCTCTTAGCGACCACATAGATTTTCCCCATGACCATCTGCCCCTAATCTGGTCTCCAGGTCTTGCAATAGTGTATACTCCTCCACTATAAAAATCTATTTTAATTATCTCATTAACTGTATCCAATATTTTTTGTTTTCCCTTTACTTTCAGTCCATCCATCCATCCATTCTTTATTTGTTTTGCAGTTCAGTTTTCATCTATTCAGCCCATATGTCCAAACCATCTCAATATAATTTTATTTTATTTTAATAAAATGTATCAAATAGAATAAAAGATAAGTAAATACATACTTCTTTTATACTGGTTGCTTAGTGTTTTATTTAATTCATATTCATCACATATTCAGTCTCTTGTTTTAACTCAGACACATTTTAAGTACATACACATTCTGTAAGCAAACCACTTTGTTATGTTAATATTTCTCTGGTTACACCATTTACAGAGGCAACCTTATAATACTTCCATATTTTCACAGCATGCATTATTTTCTTTTCATCAATTTTCTTGGACAGTAACATTTACAGTGTTCATTTCAGTTCCATTCATCAACATATAACTATATTCCTCATATAAATGTCAAAAATACGCCTTCCATAATTTCCTTGCTTCAGTTTCTTCCCAAATAATTTAATCATTTTTATTTTTAATTCAATTTGCTTTGCTGAAAGCTTTTTGTTTTGCCCTCTTCCAAATAAATGTTTCTTTTCATCGAAATCACTATGCATTTTCTTGGTCTCTTTTAATCTTAACCATTTCTTGTAATTTCTTTTTGCAAATAGATTTTCCCCTCCCTAGACATTAAATAATACCTTTCTCTCACCTCCATGTTTTCACTGCAATCATCCTGTTATATGTATTTTTTCCTTTAGCCACTGCCCCTTTGACTTTATTATTCCACAACGTATTCTTTTTCACATTTCTCATACTTCATCTACTCCTGAGCACTCTGTAAAAAAATTCTTTTCATTAGTTCCAAGTGGTTTCCACCTGTTTTCTCTATGTCTACTTTTCATTAATTCTGTTGGGAGATTAACTTATCATCTAATACTTTTTCATATATGACTCATACATTCTCTTTTTGCTAGCATGTTACTTTCATTTTAATTTTGTCCCCCCTCCTTTTTCTTATGTCACCTCTTGACACTACCAAAGTATGATCTTTCCCATATTCAAAATCTCTCCTATTTTTCTCAACTTTTTCTCATAAATATCATGTTTTTAGATTTACACTTATTCCTTTGCCATTAGATTTAAGTTTGACTTACATATTTAGTTTGTACACTCATCAATAACGATTCTCATCCATTTTTTTGAATCACCCATTTTTTGTGTATTTTCTTGTGCTGTTTTCACTCATCCATTCATATTACCTAGCTGGACCAGCCCTGATTGTGTTCATTCAGAATGTTGCAGTTTTTCTCCTAATTCATCTCTGCTTTTTCCAGTGTCACCATTCACTGAAGTCTAACATGTAATGTGTAATTGTAACCAGGCTATGGATTCTTATTTTTATACATACCCTGAACAACCTAGATGATAGCAATTTATATTTTCTTACATATGGTTTAATTCTTTATTCATAATTAAAGCCAACTCTTCATTTTCCTGCAAGTATTATCTTTATTTCACACAGACTATCTTCATTTAGAACTACCTTTCTCTTTTTCTTAGTTTCACAGACATAGAACATATATTTTTTCTTTCATTCATTAATAAATTATATATTTTTTCCATTTCATTTCATTTATTTTTGGGATTTTATGGACACTTATTCCAAAATAACTTTGGGGTGGTTAGAGTCTTCTTATATCTCAAGTTGCACTCTTTCTTATAATATAGATGTTACCATATAGGCCTGCAGAAATTGGTATTAATCAACCAAGATCAATTTTATAATTTTTAGTAAGGCAGAGAGGTAGGCTAGGTTAGAAATTTCAGTCATACCTATGCCACATGCAGTATTGCCAATAGTTGACATTATTGCCCATATGCCATAACTTAATCCAAAGTCTAATTTTAGTTGAAGCACACTCATGCTGTTTTATGCAGGTTAAGATCTCTAGTTTAGGGCCAACACATGCCCCTTACTAGGAGGTATATGCAATATACTCATGTAAACTCAAGATACTTTCACAGTCCAGAGAGAAAATGATCATCTGTAGGATTTTTGGAACCCAGTTTCAACGATAGAGTAATAAGTGAGAATAAGAATATTTTATGGAAGCACGAATTAGAGGTTGATTAGGAGGGCAATCACACTACAGGCACTGGAGTACAAAACAAGTGAGGTGGGGTGAGTTGTAGCAGCAGCAGCCTTGGACAGAAGGTAGCAGCAAGGAAGAAAAAAAGGCAACGGTGCTAGAATAGGAGACAGAGTAACAGGATAAAGGGACTTAGATGGTACCACTGGTATATACTAGGAGAGCTGAGAAGAAGAAAGAAATCTCAAACAAGACCCTAGTGGGAATCTGGAAGTTCAAAGGCGAATCTATGGGAGCCCGCCATCCAGCCTCCCCGGCCAGCCCAGTACAGTAGTCCTTATAAGGGAAGCGGCGGCGGCGACGGCAGAGACAACGGAGGTGCAGGGTTGCGATGGAGGTGGTGCTGAAAGGACAGCTCCCGTCCCTCCCTTCTCCCTCCCCCTTTGGAGCTGAGCGGCGGGTGCTGCCTGCAGAACGCACAGCCTTGCCAGCACAGCCGCCGCGGAAGCCTCAGCAGCGGCAGCAGGAGCAGGAGCAGCAGCCATGAGCCAGGCAACCGCCGCCTCTCTTTCAGCAGCAGAAGTAGCCGCCGCGTCCGCTCCCGCCTCCCGCGGGGCTCCCCAGCAGCCGTCCGCTGCCGCCGCCGCCGCTACCCGCGTCTCTCCCAGCTCTGCGGGACCATGAAGCGGCAAAACGTCCGGACTCTGGCCCTGATCATCTGCACCTTCACTTACCTGCTGGTGGGCGCCGCCGTCTTCGACGCCCTGGAGTCCGAGGCTGAGACTGCCGACCGGACTAAGCTGGAGCAAAGCAGCTGGAGCTCAGAGCAAGTACAACCTCTCCGAGGCCAACTACTGCGAGCTTGAAGGGGTGGTGCTGAAGCTGAAGCCCACAGGCTGGCGTCCAGTGGAAGTTCGCCGGCTCCTTTTACTTCGCCATCACCGTCATCACCACCATAGGTAAGGCGGAGGGCAGCTGGGCTCCGGCAGCGCCTTTCGCTGCGGCCTCAGGGCGCTTTCCGCCCAGCCGGAGTGATCCCCGGCTTAGAGTCCGCCCCCTCCTCCCCAGTCCAACATGCACCCACATCTTCCGCTTTCCCATTTGCAGTTTGTCTCCTGCTTTTTTGTGTGCCGAACCTTTTGGTTGGTTTAGCAGTCCCTTACTTTTCTCACGCCCAGGCTGGAGCGGATCGGCAACTTTATTCTGGGGAAAGAGATTTTCCAAGAATAGAGAGTGGACCCCCTTGTTCTCAGATAGGTCACTACTTTGGAGTGCGGCAGAGGCGCTATATTTTGCTTCCTTCTACCCTTCCCAAAGCTGGCTTACTACTGTCCGATCAACCCAGCACAGCCGCTCTTCTACTCTCTGGGTGTGATGGGCGTTTTAGTCCTAGAGTACGCCGCCTGTGAATAGTTTTCTCTACGTGGCTCTTAAGCGCCTGACTATATTATACCTTCTTTCCCGCTCTACCCCGCACTCTCCCCTCTGTTTTTTTTCCCTTGCTTTGCTTTTCCCTCTGGGAGGCATCCCGTTCCTCGGCGGTGCCTGGGCACCTGAGATTCTCGCTCTCATGCTCTTTAAGTCAAGCCGTTACCCGCGAATGGCCTTGGGACTCCCCCCCTCTTCTCGAGACTCCCCAGCCTGGCTGTGGAAGAGTATGCGCGTGTGTGAAGCCTGCAGTGCATGCTAAAGCAGAGGGAACAATGGAGACAAAAGATTTTCAACCGAAAGCAGAGCCTTTCTCTCTTCTTTCCTCCACCTGAATTTGTTTAGCCCGAGAGCATGTGCGCAATATCTGAAGGCATGTTGTGGATTTCCAGTTGCACTCTCCGTATATAATCCGTTGTAGCAGCTGCCAGTTGTGGGGCGTGGGTGGGAGGAGGAGGAGGAGGAGGAGGAGAGCACTTGTGGGGGAAGTATCTAAAGGGTTCCAAGTAAGGAGCAAAGCTCAGCTTCCCCCCCCCCGCGAAAAAACCTTCTTGGGCTGGGTAATTCTTTGGGCTAGATGAGAAGAATCACTACATTTCAACCACATCCCTAAACTAGGCCCAATTAAACTCTTCTGAGTAAATATGTGCACAAGTCAGCTACTAAAATATCTATTCTGGACACATGCTTGAGAAATTAGAACATTCTTTGCCTGTTTGAATAAACAGACTTACTTGAAGTAAACTCCACTGTATTTAATAGATTTTCTTCCTATGTGATTCTGTCTAGGACTACAGCCCTAAAGAGTTGTAGAATAATTTCATTTTTTCCCTGCCCAACAAGGTTTCCCCTCCTGCCTCTTGCTTACCAACCAACCCACTACCCCGTCCCTCCCTTTCATACAGGCCCCTTAGAATTATTTAGATGTCCAGATATCCCCCCCTTTTTTTTTTAAGGGAGAAGAGATTGCTTCCTGATTCTCAGTTGTTGTAAAAGCATATGGGTTGTTTCGGAAGGAACTCATCTTGACTTTTGAACAATGTCTGAATGTTCAAAATGAGCAATATGAATAAAGCAAGAGCATCTTCTGACTCTGCCTGCAATGTATACATTCCCAATCTTTTACATATCATTCTGATGGGAATGGAGGGGGATTCCCTTGATTGAGAAGAGAATCAGGAATCATGTTTCCACTCTGCTACATAGCAAGCTCAAAAAGTCTTAGAAGAATATCTTACATTAAGAGGAGCGATCTTCCAACCCTTTATAGGAGAGCAAGTTTCAGTGTGTGGAATGGCACTTATTGCTGAGTAAGCACACTTATCAGGCAGGGCATTACTTTTGGTATGATAAAGGAGCCGGTTATAGCAAGGTTGTTTCTATTTTGTAGGTGAAAATTGCAAAGGGGAAGGAGCTTGCTCAGTGCCCATTAGTGGAGAACTTAGAAAACTCAGTCACTTCAATGCAGAATTATGCCATTGTTGGATACTGGCAAAGTTTTTTTTTATTTGCTGATAACTTATGTTAAGAATCCATGCAGTCTCAGCTTGGAGGTGAGGGGTTATGAGAAAAAAACAAAAAAAAAATTAGATTGCCCCAAAGTTCATTAGTAAAACAGACTCTTTGTGGGGAATGGATAAGGGGCAGTACTGATGGTAAACGACAACTTTTTTAACTGCATCGCAAGATTTCACTTTTCTACTCTATTCACAAATCAGTTCGATTCACAGTAAATATTATTGTTGCATCTAAACAATTGTATTCATATTTACTTTAAAGTGAGTTCTGTTGAACTCAATAGAGTTTACTATTAAGTAAACATCTACTCATGTCATCTGTAGAGTGAACACTATGTTCTCTTTATTTTTGTTCCAACATTTCTGTTCTTAACAGGACAAAATGCTTTTCTTTGATGCTTTTAAAAATAAACGTTATACATTTTGCAACATACAGTATTAAGCCTGCTTCAGATAGAGCATTTTAAGGAAAAACAAATGCAACTGAGTACAGTGTGACATGTAGGGGAAGAGATCAATTTAAGCTCCTAATTCTTGCTTGCAATCAGATTAATTCCTGATTTATGTTGCTGCTACATAACAAAGTGGAATTCTAGCCAAAGCCTCACAGAGACCAGACAGCCTTGAAACAGCTTTCAATGAGTCCAAATTATTTTTTGAATCTTTGGCTCTTGAAGCATTTCTCTACACCCTGTCCTTCTAAGACAGCTCTTCCTGCTTTCAATCACTGTGTCTTATTTTTAGAACATACTCTTTGCTTTGGATCATTTCTTCTAAAAGTGCAAATCTTTATAGACTATCCTTCTCTTCATGTTCACAAAACTCTTTAAGAGGGACTATCTCCTGTCCTGCCTAATATAAGTAAAGTTCACCCTTCATTCAAAAGAATGAGATAGCATTACAGAAACCACCATAAAATTATTAACGCCCACTAACTGATATATGCAATTGCTGTCACCAATAACCAAAAGCTGAAATACCCTTTGAATATATATATATATATATATATATATATATATATATATATATATATATATATATATATACACACATATATATATAATCCACACACACACACACACACATATATATATACACACACATATATATGTTTTCTGAGGTTTTCGCGGGATTGTATGTAGGTCTTGGTTGTTCGGGTTTTCTCTCCAAGTAAAATTGGAAGTGTCTTGGCAACGTTTCGACGAAATCCATTCGTCATCTTCAGGCTGGTGCTTTCAGCTTCGTGCCTCGAGCAGCACGAAGCTGAAAACACCAGCCTGAAGATGACGAATGGGACTTCGTCGAAACGTCGCCAAGACACTTCCAATTTTACGTGGGAGAAAACCCGAACAACCAAAGACACACACACACACACACACACACACACACACACACACACACATATATATATATAATACGAATAAAAATACAATCACCAGGAGAATATAGGTATAAAAAAATATACTTTACTAAAACCGCCAAGCTTTCGTCGGGGAGGCTCCCAACATCATCAGGGCTGAAAAGCCAGTAAACAATGATGACTTAAATGGGTTTGGCTGACATTTGCACCCGGCTTTTGGACTGCGTCACTGGTCCTGGCTGATCAGTTTGTGTTTTTCAGTTTTTCAGCCCTGATGATGTTGGGAGCCTCCCCGACGAAAGCTTGGCGGTTTTAGTAAAGTATATTTTTTATACCTAAATTCTCCTGGTGATCGTATTTTTATTCATATTATAAACATGCCCAGGAGTCGTATTTTTATGGACATTTGTCAATATATATATATGCATGTACGTATGTACATACATACATACGTATGTACGTATGTATGTATAGGTTTTGCATCTTCTCTGAAAAAGTAGAGCAGTTGCAGGTCATACAGCTGAGCATCCTTCTGCCACCCTGAGGCAATCAGAAGAAGATCTTGTGACTTGATCCACAGACCTTTACATAGTATAGGCAGTAGCTCCCAATTTCAGGAAGAAAAACATCAATTGGATTAATGTAGGGCAAAGATATCTCTAAAGTTAGGAGATGCCAAACTAGGAAGAGTTGGAGGGTCATAACAAAGGTTCTGAAACTGCCCTCTGAAATGGATTGATAGCTAGAGGAATATTCCCATATTTAACCAAACAAATCCCTGGAATTTAGACTTTAGCAACAGATGATCATTGTATTGCTATAATACAGGGGGAGTGATGTCACATGTGTCATAATATCACTGTTCCCTTGCCATCATAGGGGCTTAGATGCTGGATCAGTTGATGCCTGATTGAGTTCACGTTCTCACTGCCTTTTCAGCTTATGTTCTTGGGCCTTGCTGGAATTCCGCATGTTTTGAAGTTGCAAATGTACCTTCTGCTAAAAACATTCCCCTTTGGAGGCTTGTGCTTGAATTTGATAAAACTGAATTTGTCAACAAACCATGGCTGGGTTCACGTGTAATGCAAGAAAGGTATGCTTTACTAATTACAGTAATTAAGTTTAGTACTCTTGACCCTGAAAGAAACAAAGCAGCTTTTGGTTTAACAAGAAATGTGCACCCAGCCAAAGACTTTATGAAAGCTTCCGTCTGAGATAACATAGGTTTCTGGTACAAGTGATGATGATTTCACATGTATCACTTATGTAAATTACATAATTTGCATGATATCATGATGCACACAATACTTTTGCCTTTTTCTCTCTTCCTCCATGCCCATATATCTTTCTATTGCCTTGTTCTTGCTGTTGCCACTTCTCATAGAAAGTAAGGAAAAATATGAGCAGGAAAGTTATAATGGTTGCATTAACACAACATACTCCACCTGAAACCTGAGCTAACAAAAATGAAGTATAAGATGCTATACTTTCATACATCTGCCTAACATGCAAGTGTCCCGAGTTTGAATCTCAGAAGGGTATGGCTACTGATGAGAGCTAAATAGCTCGAAATAATTATACTGGTCTGCCTTTAATTCTTTGTCGGTAAATTTAAATTTAACACACAAGTAGTCTGTTGTAGAAGCGACCTAGA